TGAATAATAGTAATGACCTTGTGTATATAAATCCTGTTCATAATTGAACATTCATCTTCAAAATTGTTCATCAGATAGTTTGACTATGCAAAAAAAAATATTTTGTATGCATTACGAATAGAACATAGGTACATATCCTTTTTAACTATTCTATTGATCTTCGTTACTATTTTCTAATACGATCAAACAATTCATTCAATGATGTAATCCGAAATAAAAAGAAAAGAAATAGTATATCATTTGTCTTGGTCAAAAAAAGTATTTGTATCAATTTATTCTAGTATATATATATGTGTATATTTATTCGAACTTCATATAATTGAACAATGATTATTCGATATTCAATGTTCATTCTATTTTTATGGTATTCTTATTTATTAAATCATTTTTTAATTCATGCTCAACAACTTTCCAGTGAGAATTTCCTTTTTTATTAAATAAAAATTTTCTTTTTTTTTTTTCTTTCATAGAATCTCCTCGTTTATGTACTTATCGTAATAATCTATCACAGTATTATCCATGTATACTTAATTATATTGGTCTTAATAGTTGGTCTTTATATCAATGCCCAGATGGATCGATATTCGATGAAACATCACAGCAATGTTTAATGAAAGTGCCTATAAGTGATACATTCGATCAACTTTCATCATCCATAGATGAAACACAATTTGAAAAAATTTCGAATTTTATTGTACCAAACAAAGAAGAACCATTTTCAATAAAAAAAATTTTACGTGAAGTAAGAATTTTATATAATAAATAAATATACATATTAATTACAATAGCATGTTGAACATCCTGGAGGTATATTTTGGGCAAATGGTTATCCTCTAACTCCATCAGAGGATAAATCAATTTTTCCACAAGAATCATTAATTAATTCAAAATTAAACTATTTCTCTTCAGGACATCCTTATCCTACACCCGTTAGTGAAGGTAAACATAATTTATTTTTGTTATAATAATAATAATGAATATTTTATTTTCTTCTAGATGAATTGAAATACAAGAAAATTTGTTATTTTACTAATTGGTCACAATATCGAACTGGTCCAGCTAAATTTGAACCAGAACATATTGATCCATTTCTTTGTACACATATTATTTATGCTTTTGCTTATATTAACAATCAAACATTTTTAATAAAAACAGTCGAAGAAAATGATGAAGGTTTGTTTTATACATAAAAAACAATTTCATATACGTATATATGTATTAAAATAGATCTTTATCGTCGTATAAATGCACTTAAAAAACGTAATCCAAAATTAAAAACCTTATTAGGTGTTGGTGGATGGAATATGAAATCTTATGCATTTTCAATTATGGTACATAGTACTGAAAGAAGACGAAAATTTATTTTTGATACAATCAAGTAAATCAATCATATTAGTTTAAGAAAAAGAAAAGAATTATTTTTTATTTATTAAGTTTTCTTCATAAACATAATTTTGATGGTTTCGAAGTTGATTGGGAATATCCAGGTATGCGTGGTGGACAATCGGATGATAAATATTATTTAACATTATTTTTTCAAGTTAGAAATCGATTTAGAACTTTAAAAAAAATATCATGACAGACATCTATATATATATTTCATAGGAATTTCGTGAAGCTGCAATAGCACAATCAATTGTCACCGGTCAACCACGATTATTAATAGCAGCAGCAGTAGCTGCTAATCAAGATATTGTTTCCAATGCTTATGAAATAGATAAAATTTCAAAGTATAAAAAATTTAGAAATTTTAAATTTTGATCTTATTTTTCCTCTATTCAGAGTTTTAGATTTTATTAATATTATGACTTAGTATGTATATTTATATATGATAATTCATAGCGATAGAAGTTTATTTTAGTGATTTTCATGGAGCATGGCAAAATCATACAGGTTTAAATGCTCCATTATATAAACGTTTTGATGAAACTGATATGGATGCAATGCTTAATCAAGTAGATTATAAGTTTATTTAGTTTTATTTTCAATTTGATATTTTCAAGGATTTTGGTATTGCTATTTGGTTAAGAAATGGTGCACCAGCTCATAAACTTGTTCTTGGTGTACCATTATTTGCACGAACATTTTTCTTAGCACATGCAAATCAAAATGATCTTCGTTCACCAACAATTGGTAATGGTACAGAAGGTCCATTTACGCGTAGTGCTGGTTTTCTATCATATTTTGAAGTAAATTTTTCTATAGAAAATAATTTTTATTATCTATGCTGTTTATTATTTAAAGGTGTGTTTATTACAAGCTGATTCTCAATGGAAAAAGAATACTGTATTAGATGGATCAGAATCAGGATATATGTATAAAGATCGTGACTGGGTTTCGTATGATTCACTTGAAAATATACAAAAACGAGCAGCTTATGTTGTAGCGAATAATCTAGGAGGATTATTTGTTTGGTCACGTATGTATCGTCTTTGTTTTTTTTTTGAATAAAAATTGTATCCTTTTTTAGTTGATATGGATGATTTTAGTGGTATATTTTGTCAGAATGGTTCATATCCATTTATTAAAAATTCTTTATCACTCTTACCAACTAATATGGCTTCATATATTTGAATTCATATATATACACATACATAGCAATGAACTGTAGACATATAATGACTTAAAAGTATTTAAATATTTGCCTTTATTTAATAAATATACTATAAAAATCTAATTGAATTAGTTCACTGATTACTGATGATCATTTGATAATATGTTTAAATATTCATATTTATTAGAGAGAATAAATGCGTTTTCATAACAGCAAAAGATAAAATAAATAGTTCTGTAATCAACTGTATTGGAAAAAATTCAATACATGAAATAAAATTAATGATTTTAGTTTTTTTTCTTTGATTCTAAGAAAATAAAAATAACAGTAATAATAAATTCGTCTAAAATGTATTTACTAAGAAAACTTGTGTAAACTATCTTGAATATTAAACGATGTTTCATTTTCTTTTGTGGATAGTGAAGTGTACTGACATAAACGTTCGATTGAATGTCTAAGAACTTTTTCCCATGCAATAATAAATATTGTGAAAAGTATCAAAAATAAAAAAGCAAAACCTAAACAAAACGAATGATCAAAGTTAATAGTCTAGATAAGAATACCTGAATTATCACGAAAGAGATTGCCACGAATATGAAAAGCAAGTGCACCATATTTCTCACTCATAGCAAATCCAGAGAAAATAGGAAAACCAATCAAAAAGATTAATTTCAATCCATAGACCACTGCAGTCTATCAAAGATTAAAATAAAAAAAATATACAAAATAAATCGAAAGAAACTGACTTTTTGTTTTTGAATTATTTGAATTATATATTTTCGAAATTTTAATATAAACAAACCATTTGAATGACCATCGTCAGGAAGTTTTTCAAAACCTGCGTTATTCTTATCTTCATCATCATCTTCTATTTCTTCTATCGATTGTAATTTTGTTGTTAATATCGATCCATTTGTAGTATTTATTATGTACGGTTGTTGATCTAACTCAAATGCAGGATTTTCACGACCAATTCGATTCTGAATAAAAGAAATTATTTTATGTATTTTATTAAATAAAACTAACCTTTGTCATTTGAAAATTTGTATTCGATTGACTTTAGTTTAAACAAACTATAAAAAGAAATATAATCTTTGATACATTTAGATTATTCATGCTTTTATTTCTCTTTCTATAGATGATAAGATAGTATAATATTCAAGTTTGATTTATTTCAATTATCATTTGACATTAAATACACTATCATGCCTAATAGTTATGAATAAAGAAAAGTATGTTGATAAGAATTTATTTCAACAAATATAGTTTTTATTAATAACAGAGAAAAGAATCTATCATAAATCAACTTACTTCTTCTCCAATGACTGATCTTGTTTTGTTTTTGAAATTTGTATGTATTCTTTAAAAAAAAAGATTACCATCGTATATTTAATACACTTCATCAACATACTTTAATATTTATTTATTTCATGAAAACAAAATTCGATAATTTTTTATGCATGACATTCGCTTTAAATTTATTTGATACAAATCTAAATGATTGAGAAAAGTAAATAATGACTTGTTACAGTCTCTGATCATTTAACTCTATAAAAAGCAATCTACTGATTTCAAATTGGATTCTTGATTTAAACAATAAAATACGAGATTGTTTTAAAATCCAATTCATTTTCTTATCTTACTAAATTTCACTCTTGACGATAGTGACGTTTATATATAAAATAAATCTATTGAATTAAGACTCTTAATGATGTAAATATCATAATTATCTGTTACCTACATTCACATCCACTCTCAACAAGCTTATTTTCTAATAAATCTTAGTCAAATTAATTAGAAATATATCAATTTCAGTTAGTTTTATTGAGTAAAGTAAAAGAATTTATAAATGAAACCAGTAGAGTAAAGATAAATCACAGAAGCTGTAGCATAAATATATAATGCAAAATTTGCAAACAACAAATAATTAATAAAATATAACATATAAGATTGCTCAATAGATTTAAAAGCTTAGTAACAATTTTGATTATATACATATCAAGCGTATTTTGCAGCGTTACATCAGCAGTGATATCATCTAATAAGAAAAATTAAGTAGAATTTCTCAGTAGCTATATGTAAGAGAACACAAAAGAAGAAAAAGTATAAGTTTGGAACTTCCAATATCATCTGATTATTTTTTAGTGGTGAACCTTATGAGTAGTGCTTATATAAATTTGAAGGTAAAATAGATTTTGAGGTTATATAACTAGTAGTGATAATTAAATATTCTTAGTTAACTTTTTTTAGTAGAAAAATTAACTAAAAATATTTAACTATATTTTCAATCTCAGAACCTATATCACCTTGAAAATTATATATGAGTACTGTAGCACTTACTCTCTTAATGTCAGAATTTTTGAATAATGTAGTTATTCTCGTATGCAGATAAATGTCAATTACATTCTGTTGTTGAAATAGTTCTAATTAATGTCCAGTAAATGTATCATTGTTGTTGCGTAATTCGAAAGCAAATTAAAATTTTTTTAATTAATTTAACAAGATAAGGTACGATAAAGTAAACGGCAATTGATAAACTACCATATGCACTCAAAAATATTGTTAATATTTCTAATTCATCAGATTTTTGATAATATGTATAAATACAATAACTTGGAGAGCAACTATTAAAATATGTTTCATAGGATGTATTAGTGGACCATGATTCGATAAACATTTCATATGCTATCTTTTCTATAGTATCATTCATAGAGAATCGTGTTGTTAACGTATTTAATCCATCAAACTGTTCCTTTGTTAAAGCTTCTCCTTCGCTAAGAGCTCGAAGGATGTTAATGCATTGCAGATAATAGAAGCAAGTCAAAGATGAAAGAAGTAATGTTTCAAGTTGATGGCAACCAATGACTATACCATCAATAGTAACCAAATCAGAATTTATATTTACTTGTCGTGGCATTCGACATGTTTGTAAAGTGCTGCATAAACAACTTGTATTCTCTTGTGTATTATTGAATGTACGAGGTACAGTAAGGAAATTAATATCACTTCCATCGTTTGTTTTAACTTTAACTAAACTCCAAGCTTGTGAATTTATATGTAGTAAAGCATTTCCTTGGATAGTTGAACGGATAAGGTCTAATATATGCGCAAATGCAGTTTTTGTTTTATTTTCGAATTGACTTAGTGTTTCATTCATTTCAGTGTCAAATAGATCGCGAGACATTAGTTGATTGGTAAATAAAGTTGAGGCAAGAAATGCATCAATACTATTTTCAACATTGTGTTTTGCCAAAGAACAAAGTTGCTCCAAGGATTTCACGAAAGGATTTATCCATTGTGTGAAGTGTCCAGATATGGTCATAAATCCGCCTGAACCTCCTAGCATATCTGCAAGTATAATTATTCAAATACTCTTAAAAAATGTTTTTTATTTAGGCTTTTTATAGTTTAGCTAATGGAATTTGCTTTTTTCATGACTGTGAAAAATTTTATAAAAATTTAAATTTTCTCTTATTTGAATTTGTTTGAAATTCCTTTTCTTTACGCATCATCAATATCAACAATTCAAATTAGATTCGTTGAAACTTTATCAAAAAAAAGAAATCATTTTCAACCCGAAAGTCTTGAATATTTTGTTAATCGATTAAATTTTAGAAAGACAAATAGTAAAACTAACATCTTTGTACTTACACATTGTCAATATTGTGTATAGTCGCTTATCATCACATGCATCATGAAATGAACTGACTTGTAATTCAGTGATAAATTTATCATAAGAAATTGATGTATATGTGCATGGGCAACTGATATCATCTGAATAAAGGTTTAATAATTGTTCATAATCATCAATCGAATGTAACTGTTGTGTTTCAGTAATACGACGTTCGATCAGAATTGTATAAAAGAGTACAATACTGAGTAAAACTATGTAAAGAAATAGATAAACTTTTGTATAGATTTGTTGTTGACGAATATGAGTGTTATCAGTTGATTCTATTTCGTAGATGTTAAAATTCTTAATTTTATCATAAATATTACGTGGAAAGTTTCTTGAACGAACATCAATTGAAGATGATCCTAGAATGAATTATATATGAAATCAAATTAATACGTTTTTTGTTTTGAATAGTACTTCAAATAAGCCAGTTCTATGAGTCATAAAATCCTTAACTGAATAGTCTGAGGAGACGTACGAAAATCACATCAGTTACCCATCCATAATCATCTTCAAACTTGGCCTAACATTCTCAATTTGGTTCTTTCGACTAATTTCTGTTTCAGTAAAATTCGTTCCTCATAAAAATACTCGTGGATGAGCGTAGTTAATTGTATTTATTTTACTTCTACGATTCTAGCACTGTCAATAACTTATATTCTACTATCACATCATTAGATCTCAATTGTAAAAGTCAAAGAAAATGATCTAATTAATTAGAACGATTCGTGATAAGATATTTTATTATTCTTTGAAAATTTCACAAGAAACTATAATACTTCTCAGTAAGCTTCTTATCAGTTTTTGAAGTTGATTAGTTTTAAAGAGAAATACATTCTTTAAGTGCTAATTGATTTGTATTTATATAGTTAGTATAATTTTAATTGATTTATTTTTTTGAAAATGAACTCTATCTGTACCTTACCTTGTCGAGTATTTCGATTTTTTCTTCTGTCATAACAAATACAAATTATTTTGCCAATTAGTGGAACAAGTAGTCGAAGACCTTTGTTTAGACCACTGCAAGTCGAAATCAGAAGAAATAATATCACGATAAAGTTGCGACGTTGAACAACGGTATATGAGCAAAAACTAGGTTTACATGCGTTATAAAATCTATCGAAGGATGCATTATTGATTGTTTTTTCGAGTAGCATTTTACCAAGTAAATCCTCCGTATTGGTATCACCAAATTGAGTCGATTTAGATTCATTAAGAGGTTTGATATTTGGTGAACGTTGAGTATGAATAACCATCGAATAAGTTGCTTGAATATGTTCCATATATGTGATATCGTACCACCATGCCGTTTTTGACTCGAGAAACCCACTTAAAGGTGAACAACCAAGATGTAATATTTTAAATAATAAATATTCATTATTATTGTTAAGATCTGATGTATTTATATAGAGTGAAGGGATTGCAGAGCAGGTAACAGGATTTGTTTCACAATTGCAGGTGTGGTAAGCGATCATAAAGCCGTCTTGTATGATGCTTACTATATCATATTTACGAAAATTAGTAATCACTTGACTATGCTCGTTTATAGATATACCAACATTTGTATTCAATCCATTGTAAAGATAACTAGTAAGAAAAATAAGTCTCATCCAATTAAATGTTTGTAAAAAATCATATTTTGTTGTATCAATAAATGAAGTCATCATAGCTTTAGTTTGTTGAATAAAATGTGGTAAAGACGGAACACGATCATTAATAAATTCAGTATTAAGAAATATATGCTGTGCATCTGCAATGTTCATTTCAGCTAATGAACAAAAAGCAGCTAGAAGTTGAAAATAAGAAGCACCCATTTTACGGAAATCTTGGCTAAATGAGGTGTCGCTCTCAGGTGACAGATGAGTCGGATCAAAAGATCTTAGATAATGTAACCATTCTAATGAAACCAGATCACTTGAACAGACTTGATGTAATACAAATGTTACATTAAGAAAAACTTTATTAGGAATGGATATTTCTGAACAAGGACAATATAATGTGGTTGGATAATCATTATACAATTGTTCATAAGTATCAAGAGATGGATGTGAAACTGTTATCACATGATTTTGTTCTATAACAATGGTATACACTCCAGCAGCAATTGTTAAAATAACAATGAAAAAGATGAAAAATCTTGTTTGGAGTTGTTCTCGATAAATGTTAGTAGGTGTGCGATGTGTTTGTTTTTCAAAAAGATTTAAAGATATTATTGCTTGCCGTAATTTATTGAATAAAAGTCGAATGCGAAGTTGTATACGTTGATCTGAAAAGAAAACGAGTGATAGATTCTTTTATCAAAATACAATATTTATTATGTCTAAATATTCCAAACAAACCATTAAACTGATAGGAGATATGTGATTTGAGTCATCAAACATGGAGTAAATTACAAACCATTCGGCTATGTGCCATAATGGTTTTGAATATAAGCTGAATATTAGGTTTACATCCATCTTCTCACTCAGTTTTAGAAATAGAAGTTCCTACCGGTTGTAAATTAATACATCGATCGATTAATCGGTTGTCAAAACTACAGATCGGCTTTATCTCTGACTTATACTATCAGCCACATTCGAGTTTCTAAAAGTCTATTCTAACTTACTTCGATTCTGTTCCATAGGCATTATAGTTGACACATTCTCCATTGGTAAAATTCGATTTTTTCGACGTAAAATTTTTGTTGCAACAAAAGATGCAATGTAACGTACGATGAATGGCAACATACCAATAGAGCCGGTAACAGCCGTGAAAACAAGAAATATGTCAAAACGTCTTCGATATGAATATGAGCAAAAAGGACAATTACATTCTGAAAAATATTTATCAAATCGAATTTCAGTTATTGTTTCATCTATCATTAATTCATTGAACATTGATTTTACTGTTGAATACATAGAAAATTTTTTATTCGATGTATTTGATAATGGTTTAATATTCATCGATAATTGTCCATGTAAAATTGAAATGCATGATTGATTATAATAACATTCAAGTGTTGAGGCAAGTGTACCATCAACAACTAAACAATCTACTATCATTCCTGGTACATTAACTAAATGACCATAACTATCATTAAATGTAGCAGATCGTGGACAACCTTCGATATTTGAACAAGTACAATTACCAAATGTTCGAGCTGTCATTTTTAGAGAATTCTGTGGACCTAAATGTGCTGGTGGATAACGTAAATAGAAATTTGTTTGTAAAGCTGATACAATTTGATCTCCACGTGTTATACGTTGTAGAGCAAGTAAATTACGAGTTATTATTGTTTTCGATAGATCTATTTGATTTTGAAGAGTGTTTTCAGCTTGAACTCGAATAACTTGTTCAGCAACTGCTGTAGGAGTGATAAAACTTGTAGCTTCAAAATTTGCAATAACATCATTCCAACTTTTGTTACTTGTCAAACATAAACCAGCAATTGTTTGCCAAAAAAAAACTAAGAGTAATACGAGCATCATCGATAGATTTGGTTGTAATTTTTTCATTCGTAAATAATTTGTCAATCCATGCCTGTTGAATAAATTCACTTGAACAAACTTGATGAAAATTAACTTTAGTAGTGACGAATTTAAAATAGTTTGTTGAAGATTTTGAACATGGACAATGAAGAGTACTTGGATACTTACGAATTAATTGTGAAAACTTTTCATGTGAAGGTTTATATTCAATTTTGTCAACAGGTCGAACGATAAGTGCAACAGTAATAGTAATAATAGATAAACATACAATTAATGCAATCAAATAAATACGAGTAGCAAGAAGTTCTTTTTCAAGAGTATGTTCGTTACTTGAATGTTTTTTGAATAGATTCAGTTGAAGAAATTTTTGCCATATACGTTTCACTAAATTGCATATCATTTTAAGACTCTCACCTGCGATAAAAAAAATAATACAATGACTTTTCTACGTATAACTACCAGATATATATATTCAAGAAAAATGATGAATGATGAACATGTTTTATTTTATATTTAATAGTTTGTGATAAACTTTGTTATTCATCTATCATTGCTAAGAAAAATGATTGATGTGAAAGGAGTTTTATTTTGAAAATTTAAGAAAATAATAAAACTGCTTTATCTTCATTTGCAGTGAATGATTGATAAGTTCTGCATTATTTTACATATATTTTCCAAAAAATATTTAATAAAAATATCTTTCACAAAAAATAGTAAATACGTTGAATACTTAATGAATTTATTATATACTAAATAAAATTAATATTCGTTTATTATCTAAACTTTTACTAAGTGAAGATGTTTAACATATAAGAAGAACTTTCACTTGGTGCTGTGATGTGTACATTTCTTTTTATTAGTACTGATATG